ACCCATACAGAAATGTTATTGTTCTTCTATTTTTAAAAACATTTAAAACGATGGTAAAATTACAAAAAATGTATTTTATTTACAATTAATTTTAATGTCGCCTGATCCATGTGTTTTATCTTGTTCTCTGGTTTAAAACTTCATCCAAATTTAAATCTTGTAAAAATTATGGTTCCTTTCAAGAATTTATAACGCCTTCAAAAATTTTGATGGCGCTTCATCTCCCTCTGCCATCACGGCCTTTATGATTGAGGAAAAGGCGGATGTAGGTTATGGGGAGGGTTTAGGGCTGAAGTCCTTCCCAAAATGGTAAAATTTATACATATCTTACGGAAAAAATATTAAAAAATTACCTCTAAAAAGTATTATTGTTCGTTAATTGCATTTAATAGGACCTTAAGAATCACTTAAACACCATTTCTTATTAGTAGTTAGTTTGTTCCATTTTCTTCCAAGGTAATTATCGTTTTATATATATAAAAAAAACTCTCGGTCTGCAGCCCCTCCAAAAATTAATGCATGAATCCTCTAGTGGATAGAGGAGCTATCTAGGTGTATAATGAAAATGCCAAATTAGGAAGAGCTGTAAATATAATAAGCACAGGGCAGAGGGCGACCCCAGAACTATATAGCTGGCAGTGGCTAATTGTAATGGATGTTTTCCATCCCCATCCCTCTCACATCCTCTCCCTTGTGCATTAATTCGATTGTTTTTTATAATTTATCTGATCAAAATATCTACACAAGCCATGAGAAGACAGAAAAAAAAACTATAAATAATAAGAAGTAAAGTAATAGGAATTAATACAATAGAAATAAGTAGAATAAAATAATAAAAAACAGCTGATCACTCAGATAAAGAAGTGTTGCTGTTAGTTGTGAAAATGTAAAATTTTAATATTTTATCTAGCGCCTCTTTTCAGCCTCTACTAGTCTTTAATACCAGTAAGGCCGCTGTGTGAGGGGCACTGGGATCTCCTAGAGTCCTGTGTTTCGTTCCACTAGTGGGGAGATCTTGAGTGAATGAATTTTTTTTTTTTTTTTAGATATTCTATAGAAGCATGTGGGTATTTGGGTAGTTATTTCCATTAGCTTAGATTCGTTTTGTTTATTTGAGTTTATATAGATTTATTTTTAAAATTATTATTTTATTGTATTATTTATTCTGTTATGGAGTGTGAATATGCTCTTTGAATATGCTATTATAAATGGTTTTAATTGTGATGGATTGAAATATCTCTTAATAAATATGTTTAAAAAAGATATATTTTATCTAGTTTCGAACTTCGATAAAGTCATATTAATGCTTTTCCCTTTAGTTTTAATTATCATAGAATATTGAATCATTTAAAAAGTTTATTTTGGTATTTTAATTTTGATAGAAAGTTTTCCAATAGTTTCTAAAAATATATGCACTTTTATATATATGTCAATTATTTAACTTATTTTTTACCTTAAATTATATTAATTTTACTTCTTGACCCATTAAGAAATTTAAAAAAAATATATAAAGAGGTTTTATATTATATGAATTGACCAAATAAGTAAAGTCCTGTCGAACATTAAGCCTACAATAAGAGGAATTTTCATTGAACAAGCGTACGAAGATGTGCGGGATTTAAGATAAGAGAATTTTTCACTGCATGTGGTAACAAAGTTTAAAAAAAAAAATTGGCTAGGTTTATTTGACTTATTTAAGATGTTTAATGTTTCAGAATATATCTTTTATGATAGTGGATATAGTAAAAATAAATAGATTATATATATATATATATATATATATATATATATATATATATATATATATATATATATATATATATATATATATATTTAGTTAATGTTCTGATGGTTATACAAGCTGAATTTTCGAAGTCCCGTAATTTTTAACTTGGAAACATTATCACATCGATGTAATTGAGAGCGTTTCTTTGTTCAAAAACTTAATCCAGCGACTGTAGGGGTCGCTGGATGTAACCTCATTATAACTGCAGTGTTGTTATTAGGGCCTAGTTCCTGAACTCAGCGCTAATTCCATCGATGTTATCTAAAACCCGATAGAATTCAGCACTGATGGACAACGATTTATGCTGAGTTTAGAAACGATCTGCATGATTTCAGTGGAAGTGCATCACTCCTGCAAAAAAAAAATCATATTATTAATCCCCTCTTTTTGATGTTGTTTTCATTTCTATCGTGTGATCTTAAATAGTGTTGCCCAAATGCGAGATCGAGACGAGTTTTGGTCTTGCAAACTCAGTCTTGGTCACGGTCTTGGTCTTGCGCAAGAGTCTTGCAGTTACTTATTAACTTATTACTCTAGAGATATTACTGTATTTTTTTTAGACCGAAGAAACTTAACTAAGCCCGAATAAGTAATTAGAGGAATTAAATGCAAAAGTATATTGGTTATACCAATTATTAACATACAGTAACTAAGATTGTCGAGTATTAGTAACTATTAAGCCTTAATTTTTATTTATAAATCTATTTTTTTTTACTAGTTCCTGCTCTTGGTCTTGCAACAGTTAGGCAGCCTCGCTCTTGGTCTTGCAAAGTGTACTTTGCAAGACCTAGCTCGATTTTGGGCAACACTATTCTTAAGCAAACACCGTAGTTTTTATTTCATTTTATTTCAATTTATAAATATGAAAAACCAAAACAAATTAATTTAAACGGTAGCATTATATCAATATTTATGCAGGGAATTTTACTTCCTAATTTAGTATCAGGTTTTAGGTAATAAGTACTGCTTGTAAAGATGTAATAATGACTTGGAACACGCGGCTCCCGCCCACGCCGGTTCAAGGCAACGATTACAGCGCCCTAAAAACCGCCGACAGAGGATGAGTGTGTACTTAACTGCGGAGCGGAGAAACAAATAGAAAAAGAAGAGGTCTCGGGAGCTATTAGGAGCATTGAGTGTCCGCTTCTTGGAATATCAGGCCCACCTACAAAGTTCTGTCCTCTTCGTCTCTTCCCAATTGGTATTAGATCCAATTAGTTTCTTTTGCGGTGTGTATGTGTTTGTCTGCAGGGGGGGGGGCGCATGTATGCGTAATATATAAGCAAATTACATTCCTTTTTAGAAATTAAAAAAAATACAATTTGTTTTTTCTTAACAAAAATTTTCTTGGCCTACATTACTGGAAGCACCTTTTGGTTTTTGTAATTTATGATTGATTATAACTCATTTAATACAATAGTTAATATTTTGGTTTATTATTTTCAATAATGAACCAGTATAATCGAACAAAAAAATTCAAAAACTTAACCCCATCTCAAAATTTGAGATTTTACGTTGCAGGATTTTCTTCGAAACCACGGGACCGATTTTTTTCAAATTCAGATTTCTCTCATTTTTCTCATGATTCTCCTTCATCGACATTACTATTTCTATAGACTGTAGCGCCTAAACGAATGTATCGATTTCAATGAAACTTTGCTAAAGTCTTCCTCTTCATGCCCTTTAAATTTATTTATATAACATACTTCAACGAAAAGATGATGGATAAAAAGTTACGAGGGATGGTAAAATTTGATTCCGAATAACTCAAAAAGTATACACTTTTTTGTCGATAAGATGTTTCATAGGTATTAAATTTCTTAAAAAACGAAGAAAGTTTCATCGAAATCAGAGCACTATTAGGGAAGATATCCCAATTTTTAAATATTTTTGGTTTATTATTCTCAATAATGAACCATTATAATCGAACGAAAAATACAAAAAGTTAACCCCCTCTCAAAATTTGAGGTTTTACGTTTCAGGACACGTAGAATTCGAAAAATGAATAAACATTTTTTTGTTCATCTGCCGTCCGCGCATTTTCTCAGAAACTACTGAACCGATTTTTTTTTTATTTAGTTTTAAAATCAGAGTTCAAAATAGCGGGAGAAAAAACTGCTTTGTTGTAGACTGTAGAGCCTAATCAAATGTACCTATTTCAATGAAACTTTTCTAAAGTCTTCTTCATGATGCCCTTTAAATTTATTTATATAACATACTACAACGAAAAGAAACTGGATAAAAAGTTACGAGGGATGGTAAAATTATATTTCCGAATAACTCAAAAAGTATACACTTTTTTGTCGATATTGTAATAAGATGTTTCAAAGGTATTTAAATTTCTTAAAAAAACAAAGAAAGTTTACTTGAAATTAGAGCACTACTAGAGAAGATATCGCGATTTTTAAATATTTTTGGTTTATTATTTTCAATAATGAATCATTGTAATCGAACGAAAAATTCAAAAAGTTAACTCCCTTTCAAAATTTGAAGTTTTACGTTTCAGGATGCGTAGAATTCGAAAAATGAATGAAAATGTTATTGTTCGCCCGCCGACCGAATATTTTAAAATTTGGGTTTAAAAAATTGGAAACTTGAAAAAAAGTTATGAGGGATGGTAAAATTTGAATAACTCAAAAAGTATACACTTTTTTGTCGATATTGTGATAAGATGTTCCAAAGGTATTTAAATTTCTTACAAAACGAAGAAAGTTTCATCGATGGTTCTTATTTAGTTTTATCGATTCATGGTTTTTAAAAGTTTACGGAATTTCCTAAAAAAAAATAATTAAAAAAAATCGTTAAAATTGGACAATTAGGAGCAAAGATAAGGTCTAGATGTTTTTTTATGTTCTACTTCAAATCCTTTGTTTTGGATTTTGATTTTTGAATGAATTACTGAAGTAATGTTGTTTTTTTTAACAAATTACTAATGATGAAAAAAATGTTTTGTATAATGATGAAAGAAATGTGTAATTGTTGGAAAATAATAAACCATTGTGAAATAATTTGCTACGTTTTTTTTTTATTCTGCACAGATAAACAAAACGATACGTTTGTTGATCAGACTATCTTGATCTTACTAATATTAGACTAACTTGATACTTATATATTATATATACGAATAAACATATTTCGCTGATGTCGCGGGAATGATAGCTACATAATGTCACAGTGGGATATAATTGTCAATATAAATATCAATAACAACAAAAACTTGTAAAGATATTTATTATATCCAAATATATTTTACATATTCTTTAGCCCTTTAAAATAGAATTCGTTTGTTGGATGTTCATTGGCTTAGCTATATATGTTCTATCGGTAGACAATTCACTTCTCGATGGTATCTTCTGCTCCAGGATTCCTCAGCTGAGTCTTGTCCAGTTGGTCCATCTTCAGGTCTTCCTCAGGAAGGCGGTAGAGGTCGCAGAGGAGGTGGTAGGACTGAAATAGACAAACATTATTTATAATTTTAGTCTGCTGATGTGAGATGTGCAACTTCTTGTTTGAATTTAAGTCTCTCTAATATACAAAAAAGTAAACTTACAGTGTATGTCATATTTTATTTTAGCATTAGGAGAGCAAGAGATTACTGCTGCTCATTTAAATTAAAATTATACAATTTGAGCAACGAGTAGTACAATAAAATGAACATTGAGGATTTCTGTTTAATTCTGGCCGAACGGGCTAACGAGTGCGTACAGCTCCGTTGCCTGGCAACCTATTAACCAAAGTTGGAGGCAATAAAATTACGAGTTCGCGTCCCGGTGCCTAAGGGTCTTTTAAATTCCCCGCTCTCACCCCCTGGCCCGGTAAAACTCCCCATCTACCCTAAAAAGGCGAATTAGGAGAGAACGAAAAAAGAAAAAAAAAAGGCAAGCTAATGTAGAAGCTTGCAGGATGCATAGAATCAATTTAGCTTGACGTAATACTAGATTATATGCGGAATTTATTTCTCATAGGATTTCTGAATTTATTTCTTATTTCTTGTTATTGTTATTATTCTACCTACTTTATTTTACTTTAATGTTCACTTATCTACTTCATTTTACATTAAGTTTTTCTACCTACACTATTTATGTTTCTCATATATATTGTTATCTGGTTCTTCTCTCAGTCCTGATGAAGGCCTGAACTTCGAATCGAAACTTCGGCAAATGTAAAAATAAATATTACTATTTATTTTGCCATTTTTTATTTTGACTGATCATCCTAGTCATCCTTCTCTTCAATTATTCACTACAGTCAACCATCAACCCACAATTAAATGCACAGTTGATAATCTGTAAAATGGGGGTTTGTGCGGACAGGAGATACCTCCATAGTAATTTTTTATACTTCCGATTACATATACTATATTCGGTAAATATAATTGAGGTGATTATATTACAGCGAATAAAATGGGCGTGTAAAATTGTAGTGCTTAGTAATGAAAAGATTCATAAGAGGTTACTATGCGCTGTCCCAACTGATAAACGACCGAGGGGTAGACCGAAGCGAAGGTGGGAAGATTGCGTTAAGAAAGTTCTGGCGGGACTAGGTTTGGACGGGGATCGGTGGAGGGAAATGTTCGCTGAAACTTTTATTATTATTATATTTTTCAGATCGTACCTTAGTCGATCAAGATTTAAAGGGGGTGTTGATACATCATATATTTTTTTTTAATTTCCCTTTTAGTCAGATTTTCACTCAGAACGAATTCAAAAATCCCTTCCTCCCAAATATATACAATATAATATGTAAGCACTGGTTTTGGATAAGTGTAACTAATATTACTTTTATGTAACTAATATTAAGGCGAAACAATTAAAAAATTCTATTTTCTTTAAATTTAGTGTTTATTTGACCGCACCTCCTCCCTCCCTCTCCCCTTCCCCGACTAACTCCTGTTATTATATCACGGTCAACCATCTCTACATCATTATGAATTTCTTTTTACAATATCCTTACCGGTGGGAATGGCTTTCCTTGCATCATGGCCCTTAGCCTCTGGATTTGGCAGACTGTCGGTGAGCCTGGAAAGGACCTCTTCCCGTTGGTCCAGCCTCTGGAATACTGGAAGGTCTGGGCCAGGGCGGATCCGATCAGGAGGGCGACGAGCAGCAGGCTTTGGAGGCGGAACCACATTTTTGATCTGGAGTAAAAATATGCTATTAGTAATAATAATTGTGTTAATATAATGCATTTAGTTAATATTTCATTAACTAGAGTATCAGATATAAAGTTGAATATCAATACTAATATCAAGGTATATCAATATCGAAAACAGGGATGATTTTAACAATAACAATAAAAAAAGAAAAAAAATACTCTTAATTTAATCGAAAGTTTAAGAATCTGACCTCGGAAATTTATAAAGGAAAATGATTAATATTTTTATGTCTTAAAATTAATCATTTCCTGTTAGAAACGATAATACCTTTATGATTTCGAAAATAATTTCTTAAGATACATGATTCGAAAATGGCTGAAAAAAATGAAGAATTTAGAAAGAATGAGTAACATGCATATTCTAAATATAATTGCGTACTAGCATAGGGGAAAAACACATAAATTTGAGCTACTATCGAATTCAACCGATACTAATACGATTGACTTCTCAATTAATAAAAACGGTGTCATATTTAGTTGAAAACTCGAAACAACATTACGTCTTTTTTTTTTTTTTTTTGTTCTTCCTTACCTCGCCTATTAGGCTATACGGGATTTTCCCGGGCCGGGGGTTGAGGGCGGGGAATTTAAAATCCGCTCCGGCACCGGGACGTTAACTCGTACTTTTTATATCATCTCAAATCTCTGTTATCCGGTTGCCAGGCAACTAGCGGTGCTGTTACACACGCTTTAGCCTATTCGGCCACCCCGCCCCCTCAACATTACGTCTGGGCATGTTCTATTGGCGTGTTTTGAGTTCACAGTGGCGTGATATATAACGCTGCCAAACTCATGTATTAACCCCCATCCTTTCCCCTGACCCGGGAAAATCTCCGTATAGCCAAAAAGTTAAGGAAAGAATAGATGAAACAAAGTATTTTTTTTCTTTTGGCATTACAGATCTTGTAGATCTTTTGCTGCCTTAACAAACCTGCTCCATCCCTGCCAATATTTTCCAGTTATCTGCAGGCAGCTCTATTACATCCTTGTTAACTCTATCTATCCATCTGCTTTTTAGACTTCCACGTGGTTTTTGCTTTCTATTGAGGCATTTATTGTTAAGTAGAGGCTTCCAGATCTACGACCTACATGTCCCGCCCATGTTAACCCATGTGCCTTCATATCATGGGTTATAGATTGACCAGAGTCTGTAAGCAGTTTTTGAAGAAAAACAAAATGATTGCATTCATAAAATCTAATAAAGTTATTATATAACTTAATGTTTCTATTCAGTGACGACAAGGTGAGAAAAAAAAATTGGTGTGGTGCGCGTATCACACAATGTTCACTTACCACTCAACTTTTATGCATAGTGAAGTGAAATTAAAAATTATATACGGTGCAACAAATTATTTAAAACTTAAAATTATTATATGTTTTCCCACCCGTCTAATCTATTACATTTCTGCTGTTTTTTTTTGTTTTTTTGTTTTTTTTTCATTAATTATTTCCTTCTACGACTTAGTACCTACATTTTCTTTAGGCGGGTTTCGCATTTTTTTTTGAGAGAGAATGAATTAGATTGAGCTGTCAGATCTCCTATGTTTAATGCTCGGTTCAAGCCGACTGCAGTTGACTAATTGAAGTGTTTTTGTATATGGATTAAAATATCTCAGAAACTAAAAACCTGATCTGCGTACTGTAAACGCTAGAATCGTTCAGCATTTCATCCTCTTTATAATGAACTATTATTTATAATTTATATTTCATATTATTATAAATTTCACATTATTATTATAAAGTGGGTACCCTTAATTGAATAATTAATTAAGGGGAAAACCTGGCGGTTGAGCGTGATCTCGGTCAAATCACCTCCTTGCACAACCGTTGACCTAGAAACAGTGCTTTCCCTAAATAGTAATGAACCCCAGACCCTTCATGGGTTGTAGTGGTATAGGTTTTTTTTCATATTATTAATCTTGCCTTGTTGATATTTTCACTTCTATTGTGTGTTTTAAAGTACACACCTTAGTTTTTTATTTAATAATTATATATTTTTTATAAGAGTATAAACAATACCTTTTGATATTATTGACAATATTGAACAACAACAAAAATGAGTAAATATATAAACAAATTCTGATCAAGGTTTCATTGATGTGCCCTAAGAAATAGTAAATGTTTGAGGAGGCTTCCTTAAAAATAATTTTTCAAATCAGACTGGTAGTTTAACTTTGTAGCTTAATATATTAGTATATATTTTATAGTAATTATATTATTACTTGAGGTTACTTACTGAACTAAGGTGTGGTGGAAAGGATGTCTTCTTGACCAAGGGCTCGGTTGAACTGACCGATCTCTCGAGTCCGGAGGAATATATACCGAAGAAGATCGAGGGGGTGAGAGGAGGGTGTTTTGTTGTCGGGTACTTTTTAAGAAACAATGTTATCAATTTACTTAAGTGGTCGGGGGAGAGAAAGAACAAGGGTGCACTAACAAGGGGTTCACACCCTTTGATTATGCTCAGGTGTTGTGTTTCGACATTAAAACCTTAAAGGAAAGTCTTGGAAAAGGTTTGATCAAGGAAAAAATCTGCCCTTATGTTGGTCGGGGATAATGAAGGCGGTGCTTTGGGGAACTGACCGCTGGGAGAATGGACCAGTTAGCTCCATTCTCTCGAGAGCGCCCTCTCGCATCCACTTAACTAATTTCATTAATTAACATCGCCTTTTGTGCAGGGGAGAGGGGGGAGAGGTAATTACCATCCCCTCACAAATGGCTATTAACTTACCTTAATTGGAGGGGTTAGTAAGGAGTGTTAAAGCTAAGCAATTTAATATCGATATATATTCGATAATGCTCAGCAGCAGTCTTAATAGTGGACCCAACCAATCAGAATAAATCATTTATTGCCTACCTTATACCTGTTAATGCTATTAAAAACATAATTAACCACATAGAAGGTCCATATTCGAAACTTTCGCATTTTTTTCTTTATCATTTAATATTTCCAATCACATTTTATGTTTCGGTGTAATAAACTCCATCTTTAGAACCATATCATTCTTGTTAATGCATACACATTTTTTTCTGTAATTTTATATTTATTATCACTTTTTTTTTTTTTTTTACTTACCTCACCATTTCTGGTACACTGGGGTAGGTTGTTCTATAGGTACCACCAAACCTATTCTAACCAGGAAAGGGAGTTCGAGATTCATTCCGAGGGTCAGCCACGAAATAAATTTAAACCCGCTCAGATCGGATTTAAACCGTAGCCGCTATAATCGAGAATGTTAAAGCGGGCAATGCAATGATCTACAATCAGCAAACATCTGACTATTTAAGGAAGTAATGACATGGGGAAGGATAGTATTATTATTTTTCTCTCTTTCATCAGCTTGTAAACTATACGGATTTTTCCGGGCCAGGGGAGAGGGCGGGGGATTAATATCAGAGTTAAAATCTTCCGTCACCGAAATTTGAACTCGTTATCTTCGGTTTACCAGATTTCTGGACACCGCGTGTTTTGCAATTGCCTCTCGGACACCCCGCATTCTATTAATTTATTTGTTGACGACACCACGGAATGAATCTCGAACTTCTCCATCTGGTTGGAATAGGTTTAGTTGTGTGCCTCTAGAACAACTTATTCTATCCCTTTCTGCTCTCCTTCCGAATGCCAGAAATGGAGAAGTGGAAATATTGAAAAAAAAAATTAAATCGTTCTCTGGAACTTTTCTTTTAAGTGTTCGCATGGCGACTTCGGAATGAGTGAACGAAAGAGGTAATAATATCAACTTTAAAAGAGATGTCTAAAATATTACTTATTAAAGTTTAATGTTCTGAATTTGTAAAGTCATTAAGTGGTGTTAAGGCTGATCTATGGTTCAGCAAAAAAGAAACTCTTACAAAAACTACAATATTTTAGATTCCAAATTTAAGAATGCTAGCAAACACTCCCAGAAATGTGAAAACAAAACTATAAACCCTCTTACAAGAACCTATCATGGACCAACACATGCGTTCGCTTTATTCCTATTTTTATAATAAACTTCACTGACATAACAACGGATAAATAAAATGGTCTTGGCTGATATGCTTATCAGAAGGGGACTGAAAAGAAGATGAATGAAAGATACTCTTTCCTTAATTAAAGAAATATGTCCTCATACTTGAAATATCAAAACCAAATTTAACACATATGTACTGGTTGTCACATCCATTACAGATGCGAATAAAGAAATTAAGAGAAAATAAATTAAACATTCAGCGAATTTCGCGTATTTTGGAAATTAAAATATTAACACTCTCCACCAGAGATGGACAAAATAGTAATCAATGATTACATGATTAAAACCGAAAATAAAACTTAATGAGCATGCCAATTTTATACTTGATTCAAAACTGCAAAAATGTGACAAGATTGCCTAACTACTTCATTACAACCGTTATCGGTAACCAGATAACTGTAATCATCTAATCAAGATATCTATAATCTTAATAAAATAATCATGAATACTTTAATTGCAATCGTTGATTATGATTCTACCCATGCTTGCAGACATTCCACAAAAGATATTTTTTTAGCATTATTTAACAAAAATTATTAAATAAGTTAATAAATTATGGATAATAGGTAACAAAGAATGGAATGTTCCTAATTTATAAAATTGAAAAATATAATTATACAGAAAAATTATCCAAGAAGTTGGGCTAAAGGTCAGAAACGTCCATGATGCACAAATAAAGTAATATTTAATAACTGAAGATTTTACTTTAAAAAAAAATTAATAATACTAAACTTGTATTGTAAAACAATGTTTACTACTAGGTGATTGGTATACCTGGAATACAACGGAAAAATTGATTTAAATAAAATTCCTATTTAAAAAAAAATTCTAAAGACATAGAAATGCCAAGCATTTTTTTGTTTTGTTTTATAAATTTTCGAGGTCAGATTCTTAAACTTTCAATTAAGTTAAGTGTATTCTTTTTTTTATTGTTAAGCTTAAAATCACCCTCGTTTTCGATATTTATATATCTTGATATTCATGTTGATAACTGATACTCTAGTTTTGTTTGTTTTGATGTCTAGGCGCAAAACATCCAGGTCATAAGCGCCCGATACTCTAGTTAATTAAATATTAACTAGGCATTTAATCATTTTATAAGCCATATTGGAATTTAAAATTTAATATTCTATAATTTTTTATGGTTCTATGAATTTTTCTATACTTCATATCAACTCTGAACCGGCATTTCAACTTTATACAACTTCAACAAAGATATTTTTAAGAAACAGTATTTGTTGATTGAAAACAAGAATAAATATTTCCCTCAGAAGTCAACACATCATCTTAATGGAAGTAGCTTACTATCTAAAGTGAGAATAATAACAGAAATGATCAATTAATTGTATTTATTTTATGAAACAAAGAATAATATTATTGCACATTTTCTAAATTCTAAAAAATAAATTACAATTCAGTATATCACTTTTCGTAAGATATTTCTGGAAACATGAATCTCCTCTTTTCGATCTGTTCTGAATGTCCTTCTCCCCAGTTGAGCTTGCAAGGCTGAAACATATTAAATAACATTAACAATGTAGATATTATTGTGAAGTAAATAATGCTATATATTAACAGTATAATTCTATAGATGCTACTAAGGCAATTCTCATCGGATCCAGGCATTTAATTAGCTCCCTTCCTTACTTCCCTCTACTTAACCTCAATAACCGTCCCATCCATTTTCTCTACAGTCAAAAACCTAGGAGTAACCTTTGACCAGAATCTCTCCTGGGATAATCATATCTCCCAGATTACCCGAAAATCCATAACTGCCCTTAAACAACTCCTAAGATTCCGTGATTGTATTCCTCTAAAAACCAGACAGCTCCTTGTAACCTTCCTTATACTCTCCCACTTCGACTACGGCTGATTGGTGTATGGAGGGCTATCTGCCAGGCTGGAAATGAGATTGAAGAGACTCATGAACTGTTTCATAAGATACATCTTCGGGATCCCCAGGCGTTCACATGTTTCATTCTGGTACACCGAGTTGAAGTGGCTTTATCCTACTTTCCGACGACAATTCCTCCTTGGTGTTTTCCTTTTCCAAGTCCTCAGAACCAAAAACCTCCCTACATCCTGGAACTCCTTATTCTACGCTCCTCTATCCACTCTCTTAATACTAGAGATTTATATATTACATCCCATAAAACTACCTTCAGCAAATACTTCGTCATTCGTGCCGCTTCCTTATGTAACTCACATCCTACCTCCATATGTCAATCCTCGTCCACAAATTCCTTCAAAAAAATCCTGTTCCACCACATTCAACCTTCCGCTAACATGTAAAATTACTTGCATCTGTATACTGTTTAATCTCAATCTACTGCACAGTTGCAATAACAATAAGCAGTTAATTAGTTTGTATTTTTTATTATTTCAAGCCAGACTACTACCCATAAATTTGCAACACTGTTATTATTCTTAGGGGACTTAAGTTCCAGAATACAATTCTTTTTTCATTTAATTTCATATAATAGAATCAAATAGGCGTATGATCATTTATAGGTATATAGCATAATATTCTTATTCTCTCATAGAAAAATAAATTTTCTTTTGTCTACCATATGGAATATTTTCGAGAAAAAAATTAACCGTTTAAAGATTTATTAAAATATCAGGTGGTCCCTTTAAATTCATCATGATTCTTAAATATGTTAAGAATCGTCATTATTCTGAAATTAATTAAACTAATAGTATCATAGGAGGAAAATAAATCTAGTAGTAAAGTTCAAATTTTTTCTTATAGTTAAAAATTAACCACCGAAAATAAATGGCTTTCTATAAAATTAATTATTTATTCATTAATAAAAAATTCGTCACTTTCTAATTAATACTTGACGGATACATAAACGATAAATAAATAATTAATAACCAGTGAGTTTATGAATATAAATGGTAATAATTAGTGTAGCCCAAAAGCCTAATTGTTGCAAGAACAAGACCAGGACTCTTAAAAATAATAGATTTTTTAAATAAAAATTAATGCAAAATAGTTACTAATACTTGACAATCTTAGTTACTATAAGTTAATAATTAATATAACTAATATACTTTTGCATTTAACTCCTCTAATTTTTCACTCACTCTTAGTTACGTTTCTCCTATCTAAAAAATTACAATAATATCTCAATAGTATACGCTAATATAATATAAGACAATATAAGATAAGATAAGCTAATATAAGATTAGACTCTTGCGCAAGACAAAGACTGAATTTGCAAGACCAAGACTCGTCTCGGCCTCGCATTTGGGCAATAATTGAATCAGGGTAGTCGATCCTTCCCCCTAGGTCGATTACGCGTAAGCCCCTTTCAAGAAATTGTATTTCTCTCCTTATCTTAAAAACAGAGCATGCGAAATTAGAATTGGAAAAATTGGAGATCATATACAACTACACTTACTGCGTCTGTGTCATGTTTTCCCATTCCTTGTTTCAAAATTCCTTCAACTGAAAGCCCACAAAAATATGGTGCTTGTACATACTCAACCCTATTAAAAATAATCGTTACAGGTAGAAATGGACAATCACATTAAAAAAATGTATCCTCCGCAATGTTCCTTGAGGTGATAACTAAAACTTTAAAAGTTATAAATAAATAAGGCGGCTTTGTACATTTCCCCAAACATCCAACATGATAGAAGGATGAGATATGTGAGGGTAGTTTCTAAGTGTTACATAGAAATGTTTTGATTTAAAACATTTTTATTTTAAAATTAAATAATCATAAAAAATCTAAAAAACAGAGCTGAAATTCAAATGTATGTTAAAACTATCGCTAAACATATATTTGTCACTAAATGTTGCTGAATAATGGCCTAGTTTATGTAAAAAATCAAAAATCAATTCATTTGCTTTCGGTTTTTCATGACATATCGAAGAGAAGTTGCAGAAAACGTCACATGGGCGTATATTTAGCGACAAATACATGTTTAGCGACAGTTTTAACATATCTGCTCTATATTTTAGATTTTTTATGATTATTTAATTTTAAAATAAAAATTTTTGATTTAAAATATATAACACTTAGAAACTACCATCACATATCTCATCCTACCATCGCGTTTTATGGCCGTGCTTTCGATGATTGGGGAAATGTATAAAGTCGCCTTATTTATTTATAACTTTTAAAGTTTAAGTTACCATCTCGAGGAACATTGCGTAGGATGAATTTTTCTAACCTGATTGTCCATTTGTGGCTGTAAAGATTATTTTTAATAGGATTGACTATGTGCAAGCATCATACTTTTGTTGGCTTTCATTTGAAGATATTTTGAAAGAAGGGAGAACACATGGGAAAACATGACATAGACACAGTAAGTGTAGTAGTACATGATCACAACTTTTCCAATTCCAAATAAAACCTCAAGACACCAATTTTAGGAATAATGAACAGAACAAATGAATTGACCATTAATAGAGGAACACAAACACTAGTGAAGAGAAACACACCTTTCAAACGTTCGCGTTTCCAATAGTTTGGAAAATCTGTAAACACAACTTAATATAATATATGAAAACGTATAATAAAGCTTACCGGGAGAAATTGACTCTTCTGGATCTGTGCGAGGGTGAGCTCTGCCAGGCAGTCGTTGATCTTGATCTTGGGCCTGTCCCCTTCGGCGCCGTTAGTCCAGCCCCTGGAGTACTGGATCTTGGCGGTCATCGCGAAGCCCACCAGGACGGCCACGATGAGCAGCACTTCGGTTCGGAGAGACATCTTCAGAACAGGGAAGACAAATAAACAAATATTATGCTGTTTAGTAAACATTTTTTTTATTTTTATTAATTGATATTTACAACTGTATTATAAAAAAATACAACTAGCAAAATGTGCACACAGTAATAATACAATCACATGAAAACGCTTGTTGAGAAACTACCCATTGATAGCACTCTAATAATATATTTACATAAGTAGATCACGAGGCCATCTTCTTTTCTTCTGGAAGCAAGGTTTGAAATGAGAGGGTTCGGATGGTTCTACAGTTTATTATGGAAGGATAGGTATCTGGATTGGGCCAAATCGGAAACATATGGAACATTAAGGTCTTTATGGATGATTTTATTTGAGACAAAGTAAGTAGGATTTTACGAAGGATTTTGGATTCTAAGGATTGGATACGAGAGAAATTCGATGGTTTAGTGGAGTCCCAGAGCTCAACTCCGTAAGTCCAAATAGGTCTTATTATTGTCATATATATGAGTCGTTTGTAATTGGTTAAAAGCTTAGAGCGTTTGTCTAGTAAGTATTGGAGTAGTCGGAAACGTCGAGCGGTTTATTGTCGTTTCCGTCTTGCATGAGGATTCCAAGTGAGTCGTTTGTCCAGGTGGAGTCCTAGATAACGGATCTGCTCAACTGGGATGAGTGGGGAATTGTTAAAGGATACTGTAGGACAGGAGGTCATGGGTTTGCGACGCAGGTTTTTTTTTTTAATTCTCCAGTTTTTACACCATTCTTCAAGGTTTGTGATATGTGATAGGAGAGTTTGGGATGCAGGTGATGGATCATTATTAACAGATAGGATAAATGTGTCATCAGCATATGTGGTGATGACAATGTCAAGATGGGTTGGGATGTCAGCTGCATGAACTTTGTAAAGGGTAGGACCAAGGATACTACCTTGAGGAAGTTTAGTAAACATAAACAGAAAAAGACAGTTGAGATCGAAATTATTTTTAAAAATATCAAGGAGGTGATTGGTGATAGGAGAAAGATCAAAATCACACTAGAGAGTAGCAAATTTCATTTTTAAAATTAAAAAGAAAATACTTATTTCTGCTTTTCATTTTTTTTTTTTTTTTTTTATAAAATCATAATTTAATCAAAATAAAGATTCAATGTTGTCAATAATACAACAGTCACACAGAATTACTGACAATATTTTTCGATCACAATAACAATAACAAAAACAATAAGCAATTGCTTTATTTCTAATGTAGCCCAGATATTAGATTAAGTCTGGTTCCAAGAGGTTCTTTTCAAATTCAAGAGCATTCTACCCCATTTTATTATATTATTTTCCAATCCTTTTTCTATAGATTTTTCTCTATCCTTAACGGATTTATATTTTCTCAAATCGACCAGTATTGGGAGGAGTACCTTAAAAATCAATACTATCTCTTTTACTATACATTAAAAACACACATTACATATCTAACAACTATGAGACTTTGACCGCAACCTACGCAGGCGATACAATTTCATCAACTCACATCAGCCCAAGACATGCCTCATTGAATGTGCTTCACAAGATCATTAACAACTCTTAAAAAAATGATATTCAATTCGGAACATTAAATTAATCACCACGGATCAAACGTTCATACTTCGACGAGACATTTGTCCACTAGTTTTAGTCGACGACAACAAAATACCTCATAGAGAAAAATAATCGACAGAAGGATGGCCTGGTGTCTAAAATTATGATAAGATTAAAAGAATGATATTTAACAAACAGCTGAATTTACTACACTCCCTTTTTTTCCTAATCGACAAAATTATATTGAAACTATTACATAACATACTTAAACTTATATGAACATAGGCCTCGCACATTTTTTTTTAAGCAAGAGAGAGAAACTTAACAAAATTTCATCCTTTTCATTCGAAAATTTTAAGACTTGCAGACTCTTTCTGGCACGTAAATAACAAAACGCTAAATGCCACTAGTGGATTCAGGATTTCATTCCTGAGGGAGCTTCAGCCCGAAAACATTTTTTTTTTAATATAACGAAAATTACTATGGAAGAAAAAGAAAAAAATAACTACCTATACGAAATGGTGTTAAAATTATTCTTGAATTCCTATTAAATGTAATTACACGAACAATAATACTTTTAGAGATCATATTTTTATATTTTTTTTATAAGACATGATAATATTTTATCATTTTGGGTGGGCTTCAGCCCGAAATACCCCTTAGATCCGCATGTGCTACATGCCAACTAACAACAACCAACTATCGACCAATACATTCGAACTCTTTATTCCCGCTTCCAAAATAAATTTCACGGACATAACAACAGACTGATAAACGATATAGCATGACATCACTAACAGAAGGCTACTGAAAAGAAGCTGGTTGGGAGATCTCCGATTAAACAATGACCGAGAATAGATCTTGCTGGGTTCTACTTCATCATATCTCAAATAGCAAATTCAGATTTAATATATTTGCTGATTGAGACAGGTGAGAATTAAGCCATATAGAGAAAAATAATGTAATCAGAAGATGATATTTTTTTTTCATTAATAATGGTATTGTTATAAAATGCCCCTTTTTTGGAGGGCAAGAAGGCAACAAAATGTCTCTTTTCAAAAATTCTGGTTCCTGCCATACTTAAACCCGGAACTCGAAAGACCTTATTTACTGACACAACAATATTTTCCAGTCTATGGCATATGGTATAGCTACACCAAAATCTGCTTTAATTTTAAGATACAAATTAAATAATTTACTGATAGAGACTATCGTTGACAGATAATCGAAGCATCAAATCACGTAAAACAATCTAATATTACCGAGTAAAGTAGGATTCATTTTTCAAGATAGGTAAATAAAATTGGATAATTTAATTAAATAAATATTATTATTGATTAAAAAAAAATCAAATTATAACATAAAATTAGATTAGATGTGTTTTAACTGCTTCACAGCGTTCCACTCTCAGGACAGAGTTATTAAAACAAATCTCTTGGACACGACTATATAATCGTTGTGGTGGGCCGTAGAGGTGTATTTTTCGTTTAAGAATTTCTGTCAGTGTCTAAAATTATTGGGATGTTTATGTTCTTGTGTATTATTTCATTTTTGATGTAGAACGACCCGTAAACTATTCCTCGCAACGCTTTTGACTGAAAAGATTGAATAATGTTGGAGGTTTTAGCAGAACCCTAAAGTTCTATACAGTAAGTCTAAATTTGGTTTTGTAAAACTTTATACAGGGTTAGTTTGTTAATTAAAGACAATTCTGAACCTCTGTCAAGTAATGTGGATAAAATACCTTATCGCCTGTTTAATTCTAAACGTTTTTATCTAATGTGAGTACTCCATGTTAGTCTTTTTTTTTATATGTTAGTCTTTTTTTTATTTTTAGTCTATATATAAAAACCTAAGTATCTAGGTCACAGTACCTTATTTACTGAGTTACTCTAATAAGTATTTAGTGCTAAGTATTTCTAGTGTCAAATATCTCGAAATTGTGGGGGGAGGGTAGAAGAGCGGCGTGAAATTCATCTCTTAATGTTAGGTAAAGGATTTATCTAACGCTGATGTTTGAAAATAAAAATATTTACAATAAGTCGATTCGTGTTAAATTATTTTTTTTTAATGATTAAGAAAGTAGTTTCTGTCAATAAGGCAAAGAAATAGAGCAATATCTATGTTGAATTGGTTAGATGATTCTTTTTGTTTTCTTTATATTAGAAAATATGATTTCTTGGAGTTTACACATATTTTTAAAAAATAAATATGATAAAAATAATGTCATTAATTATACACTAAAAAAGCTAAATTAAGTAACTAATACCGTTATGAGTACAGAGGAGAGCTTGTAGCTGACTGAAGACCATTTTTTGGAAGGGTGGTATATATACCAACACAGTCGTTCATTCTCAGAAAGGGAGGGACTTGTTTTGAACTTGAGGGTTGAAAAATAATTTTTAAAAACAATGGTATCAATTTACTTAACTTGTTTAGTAAATGACCCTTCCTGAAAGAATCGCTTTTTTCATTTTTATTTTCCTCTTTGATCCCAGCCAGCAATTAAAAAATTAACTATTTTTTCCTTTCATACTCCTGTCCTCATCACAGGACCGAAGGCCGGGACGAAAATAACAAATTCGAATAAATGAATTTGTTAACTAAAAATTCGAAAAACAGCGAAAATTGAAAATTTATATTAGTAAGATTTAAAGTTACCTCCAGATTCGGTTGTAGTTGAGATGAATTCTCATTTCATTACTTAAGTATTACACTAAATTACTGTTAATTATATTGTATACTATCAGTAATCTAGGAATTTATTTCATAAATAAATTCGGAGAGTAATGAAAAAACCTGCCGCGGTGCATTGCACAACATTCATTTACCACTCTACACTTAGTAAAAAGGATGTTTTTAAAAAGTTAATAAACCTTAAGAATATCACTTTAATTCTAAATACAAACCTACGAGCATTAATTAAAAGTTTTACAATTCTGCGCATTTTATATTTTAAAATTGTCATTAAAAAAAAAGTTGTAGAGATACAGTTTATCTCTACAACCCATGAAAGGTCTTGGGTTCAATACAATGTAGGGAAAGCACTAGTTCTTGGTCTACGGTTGTACAAGGAGGTGATTTGACCGAGATCGCGTTCAATCGCCAGGTTTTTCCTCTTGGTTAATTATTTTAATTAAGGGTACCCACTTTATAGAGACTGGGTGTGCCCCAGGATGGTCTATCTTACCCAGGGTCGCCTCACGGCCAATGATAAAGAATAAATATTTTTTCTGCCATGATCCAGTACCCTACCACTGAGCTACCCCACTCCCTTTAAATTGTCATACTGAAAATTATTTAAAAATTTTATGATGATCAAATGAAAATTCCATTTGTTTTCCATTGAAGTATTTCCCATTCAGTATTAATACAATTAATTATTATTAACTATGAATATTAAAAGTAATTGGATTTTCGTCACTTTTCATTACCTTCTACGATTAAAAACACTTGG